CTTCACATCTATCCTGTGAGTCGCATGCATTTATGTTCCTCCGGTCACTCAATCATGTTGTAGGACGAAAGGTCCGAAATTTGATAGGCATAATAACCTCGGGGTATTTTTTATACCCTTGTATAGTAACATTTTTTCAGGTCTTGTATATATTAGATCAGGTTAGATGTTTCTTGCACATCGCGATTTTAACTATTAGTTTAAATATATACAGTTCTAATAATTACTTATAAAATCAAAATATATGACAAAATATATAAATGGTTTTATAAAATATCCATATTAATAGATAAATTATAAATAATTATTATTAAAATGATTTCGTTTGAGCATTTCGTAATAGAGAAGACAGATACCCTCCGACTTCGTTTCTATGAAAGATATAGTTATTACTTATTGATATATTGGTAATATATTTTGTTATAATATATAATATAGTAATTTCATTATAAAAATATAACAATTAATAATTTCCAACTTTATCTACCCTTTTATAATAGTGTTATAAGTTTATAATAATATAATAGTTCAATTAATTAAATGATTTAATTAATTGAATTTTATAATTATGAACTTCAATACAATTTGATCATATATATGATAGATGAGAATTCTTTCCGTATATGAAATTTTTTTGTGTGAGAAGATACTTCGCGGCAGGCAGATTTTCGAATAAAAGCAATAAATTTGAACACTACTTTCGCATTATCGAAAATGTGCTTTGATAAAGAAATCGCTTGAGGTTATTTCTATTAATATTTAATTTAGAGACAATTGTTCGAGTCAATTATTAGATTTCATACCATCTTTTTTAATAGATTCAATTCTTGTCCATTGTTTTCGTTCTCTTGCAATTTCTTTAGTTTTTAAATATTTAGAATGATCAATTTTTCGTCCAAGTATATAAGCTTCCACATCATTTGATTAAAAAATTTCCTCTATTATTCGATCTGCAAAAACAGTTTACTAGTTTCACATTTTACTGTTGCAAATTTAACAATGCTGTAATGGATTTCAAAAATCATTTGTCTTTGGCGCATTTTCTTGACGTAGTCACATCTGTGGCGTGATTGACCCGCTCAACAATCGGTATAGTAGGACACTAATTTAGATATACATACGTTCATAAAATAAACACAATCAAATTTATATTATTATATATACGTCATTAGTGATAATACAATTGTATACGTTTTTCATTATTTCGCTAATGACCTGACAGAATTAATTCGATTCTTTAATATTTACTTTAATGTTTTTTCTGCATTTATTAATACGATTTTTACATGTGTGAAAATTACTCGTTTCAATTATCAGTTGTACGACAACATTTTCTACAGTAGGATAAAACGGGCTCGTTCACGCAATACTGACATCTGTAGTTTCAGTTAGTAATACTTTTCAATGCGACCATCTCACGTTTATTGTTTAACAAGCTTTCATTAGTGGAAACGGTAACATTCGAACTGAGATTAATTTAATCCTAGTAATTACACGCTCTATCTTTTATTACGTCAAGGAATTAGATTATTCATATAGATTAAATAATCAATGCCATCGTGTCATTACTGACGCCGTTTAATCAACTCCACTCATAAATAACTTCATCAACTTTATTAACATAAGCACATTGCATGCTGAGTTAAATTCAAAGCGTGTACAATTGCACACTTTAAACGATCGGATACGTACAGCTTCTAGTGGGGGCGAAGAAAAACCAATTGCACGATTTCTGTAGATTTCAGTTAGTAATACTTTTCAATGCGACCATTTCACGTTTATTGTTTAACAAGCTTTCATTAGCGGAACGGTAACATTCGAACTGAGATTAATTTGATCTTAGTAATTACACGCTCTATCTTTTATCACGTCAAGGAAAATCAGATTATTCATATCGATTAAATAATCATCAATGCCATCGTATTTATTGACATAGGCACATTGCATGCTGAGTTAAATTCAAAGCGTGTACAATTGCACACTTTAAACGATCGGATACATACAGCTTCTAGTGGGGGCGAAGGAAAACCAATTGTATACGATTTGTACGAAATTCGCGAATCGATGACAATCAATGAACATAATATCATAGGTGGTATTGGAAAATAAACGGGTGCCACTAACTTAAATAGTACGTGCCTGTTCACCGTCCACTCTGATCAATTGCACTTTAATTAAAAATCGATTTTTTTTTTTTTTTTTATCCTCGAACGCATGCACGTTGCAACAAACTCAGAAACAATGCGTGCTATGAATGCTCGTGCCGAGCTCGCGCACTCGCGATGAAACAATAATTGTGAATGAGGAGTAGAGAGTTTATTGACGAGGAACGAAAAAAAAAGGTTCTCTCGGTACGCAGCAACAACGTTCGGACAACGGCCTCCGTTGCACTCCGCTTTACTTTTTTTTTAAATAGTTGCCGGCTAATTTTAACTGCACCGCGGTTTTATTGTGCAACTGACCTATAGCAGGAGGCAACTGGCTGTCTCTCTCCTGCTTCGCGCGCGTCTTCTTCGATTTTTCTCTCCTTTCTACTGCGCTCGGGTGTCCCCGTTGTTATTTAAATTGGAACAAGAACGCCGCACGGACGAAATGTTTCCCGGCACTCGACTTTCGGGCCCGTGTGCAACGTTGCACAATTTATATTTCACGAAGACGCGCAAAAATCCTCCCGTGGCGGCGCTCTCCTGCCCGTACGTTAAGGTGACGCGCCCCGGGAAAAAAGGGTGGCAGTTTTAATCGCACTCTCACCACCGCGGAGCTGTATACGTGTAAATCGAGTCAACACGCGTGTACTAGTTCCTTGGTGTTTTTATTCCAGCCACGGAATAACGAGCAGCGGAATTAACAACGGATATGGTTGGCCAGCCTGCTCGCGGGAATATTTTCTCGTCGCGAGAGAAGGAGAGAAGAGAGAGGGAGAGGACGGCGGATATTCGCTGATATGCATAACCGAAAAAAGTAAACCAAGGAGAAATATCATTTTCGACTGTGAAATGCAAATGTAACTTGGTTACCTCGGGAATCAGGTAGAACGAGGATAGTGCGAGAGAAAAATGAGCGAAAAATAGTTCGTTTCTAGCGTGGAGCGCGGTTTGCGATAGCAGGTGCAATACACGAGGTATATTGGGTGCCGTTGGCGCGTATCTATCGTTGTAACCCTGTACGAAGAAACGTGACATTTAACTGGGAGGGAGGTCGACAGAGACCGTTCGTCGTAACTCTTATCGCGCGAACCTTATCTATACGTTTTCTCCAAACCGGATGAATGCTCCCCCCGCGACCACG